TCTCTCTCTCTCTCTCTCTCTCTCTCTCTCTCTCTCTCTCTCTCTCTCTCTCTCTCTTTTTCTTTCTTTTTCTCTCTCTCTCGACTAAATCCGCCGGGATCTCCTCGCTTCGAACTGTTCGGCAAAACTGTCGCTCGCGACAAACGGCATCGAATAAAGGCAAAACGGGGCGCGATACCGTTAGTGCACTGGCCACGAGTGGCAGATTTTCCGTGGCGGCGGTTCTCGCGGGAGACGCGCGCCGCGCGGAGCGGGGCGTCAAAACGACGACGAGGGGTGCGAGGCTCGGAAACCAGCACGGCATCCGGGACATACGATATCAGCGTGTTCCTTACCTCGAAACAGATGGACGTCGATGCCGTGTATGCTTCGGACCACTACGATTGGGGGGGAAACAACACGCCAAAATGGCCGTTCCCAATGTCAGTGATTTCGTCAACTTCTCTCGCACAGCGCCAGGTGACCGCGTCCGGTCACCGTTGCCGTTCGCAGCGTGGCGCGCTACCACCTCTTCTTTGCCGCTTCGCTCGTTGAGCCACGCTCAAGAGAAAAAAGCGTTTTCGCGTAACGCACCGGTCGACTCTTGGTCTCTCTGCTCTGTGTCGGTCTCGCCTGCGATTGCGTTCCGTTTGCAGTATCTCGAATTCCCGACTACAATGCACTGCGTCAAATGTGAGCGACGATTATCGCTCGTTGCGTGAGGCACGAATCGTGTCACGAAAGAGCTGCATACTGAGATGCGAAACCACCGTGCTCTCATGCGATCAATGAATTAAGCCACAATTCTCATGTAGTTCCTATGTACGCACTCTCATTGGCTACTCTATCTATGGCCGGTATTCATAGCTGGGTTTTATTTGAGCCGTTTTAAGTTTCCCTTTAGTTACTCCGTAGCCAATGAAATTATCCGTCAATGAAATGATACGTCATCTGGACATAAACTTAACATGGTTTAAGGCCAATTTATGATGGTCGTAATCGTTAACTTATGCTGTAATTCATAAGAAATTGACCAATTACAGTCGATTATTACAAGAATAGTCAACTGCAATCAATTTTTTATGGATTAAAGCATAAGTTAACGGTTACGGCCATCATAAATCGACCTTTAGGGCCGTGACACCTAATACAGGATTCACACCGCGTCCGATGTCCGACGTACGAATAAGAGAACAGCTTTCTAATAGAGAATTTAATTCTCCATTGGAATGCTGTTCTTCTATTGGATATCGGTCGTCGTACATTGGACATCGAAGGTGGTATGAATCCTCCGTAAGATTTATTCGCATCGCATGCCCTAATGTGCTCCTACTTGTTTCAACGCATTCTGATTGGTCACGTCACCACGCGAACCAATCAGAGTGCGTTGGAGCGAGTAGGAGCACGTTGGGGCATACGACGCGAACAAACCTGCAGAAAAACTTAAGTATTAAGCAAATTTACCAATCACAGTCGTTAATTTTTGGACCATAAGAAGAATCAATGACTGTGATTGGTCAATTTGCTTATTGCTTAAGCTGAGTTCCCACTGAGCGCTTCACCCGTCGCGTCGTCTGCTGCGTCACGAGTTAACCAATCAAATCCTCTAATTGGGATGACGCGACGCGCGACGCACGACGCACTTGTTCCAATGGAATGATTTAATTGGTTAACTCGTGACACAGGCAGATGCGACGCATGATGCGCTCAGTGGGAATTTAGCCTAAGTTTTTCTATGTGCCACGGTCTTAGGGGCGCCTCATACGAATTGACAAACAGTAACGTAAGACGTACCGTAATAATTGACCAATTACAATCGAGTATTCACAAAAATGGCGACCATATGGTTCGACGATACTCAAAGTGATTGTTCAATTCTTACGGTACGTCTTAGGCTAAGTTCTCACTGAGCGCGTCACGCGTTGCGTCTTCTACCTGCATCACGAGTTAACCAATCAAATCGTTCCATTGGAATAAGTGCGTCGCGCGTCGCATCATCCTAATTAGAAAATTTGATTGGTTAACTCGTGACGCAGGCAGACGACGCGACGCGTGACGCGCTCAGTGGGAACTCAGCCTTACGTTACTGTTATGTCAATTCGTGTGCGGCGCCCCTCAATCGCCATTGCGTTAATATCGTTCTACATTAGTTGCAAGTCGATTGTTGCGACAGCCAATCAGAAATGTCAATAGCACCATTGATGCTTCTGATTATTGGCTGTCGCAATAAGAATTGCGTCTGCTTGCGATCGGCTTGCAATTAGAACGACTTAAGGCTTATTCTATATTAGTTGCAAATCGCAAGATCGTAAGCAAATTTACCAATCACAGTCGATCGTCCTTCTTACAATAAAAGAAGAATTGACTGTGATTGGTCAATTTTCTTACGACCTTCAGACTTACAACTAATGTAGAACGACCTTTAAGCGGGGTCTACAATAGAAGTCGTAAAATCGTAAGTCGTAGAAATTGACCAATCGCGATCGAATATGAAAAGAATAGTCGACCGCGATTGGTCAATTCCTACGATTTCTATTGTAAAGCCCGCTTTAATACGTCGTCTACAATGGCAGTAGGAGTAGTAAAAAATAAAATGTAAGTAAATAGACCAATCACAATCGATTATTCTTGAATTGTGAAAATGGTATTGGTCAATTTGCTTACTTCTTATGGCTCCTGCAGACAGGACGCGATAATGCTTGCCGCGCGGCAGAAGTCCGCGCGACAGCTAATCAATATGTTGTTTTTCCGTAAGAGCTAGAAGGTTATTACGGAAAGCAGTATATTGATTGGCTGTCGCGCGAACTTCCACTACGCGAAAAACATTACCGCGTCCTGTGTGTAGGAGCCATTACTCCTATTGCCATTGTAGATGACACATAATGCGTCATCTAAAATGGCAGTAGGAGTAGTAATAAGAAATAGAGATACCCGATTCTGAATCGATTCGATTCTTTCCCCAGAAATAGGCTTATTCGCGTTGTTTGCACTCTTCGCATTTTTCGTATTTAAAACTAGACAGAAGTATATTGGAATGTTTCGAAGAAGCAAAAACGAGACAACCAACTCGATTGTTTCTTCCAAGCGTCTGATTAGGCATCCATCTCTTTTTAAAAGCGAAAAGTATGAAACATACAAGCAGCACGAACAATCCTTTTTCCCTAAATTTGTTAGGGAAAGAATCGAATCGATTAAAAATCGGGCATCTTTAGTATAGACATCTGTGATTATTCCTCGAACGCAAGGAGAATAATCAACTCTGATTGGTCAGTTTTCGTACGACCTTACCGTTACAGTTAAAATTTTTCGGTAAGCAGACATAAAAAAGAGAGGACAGCGTTGGTTTAGAAATTCCTAGGATCCATAAATTCATTTCTCAAGGTTAATATCATTGTCGGACCGGAGAGTGTATAGAAGTATAGAGTGGGAACAGGTTATATATCACGGTGTCAAAACTAAATATCATGGAAGTGAGTGACAAGTTATGGAGACAGAGGTTAACACCAAATTTTGTGAATCGACAGTTCCTCATGCTATTTTGTGGAAGAAGAAGAAGAAGAAAGTTAGTTATTTCAGATAACGTTATCTTTTCATATAAATATACGACCTATGGTAAAGACAGTTGCACTGTTTATTTTTACGCTCATGAACTCAATGCAAACGTTATTTGAAATTTACGGCTTTTGACATTTGGTACTAACTTTCTTCTTCATCTTCCACAAAATAACACGAGGAATTGCCGATTCATAAAATTTGGTGTTAACCTCTGTCTCTATAACTTGTCACTCACTTCCGTGATATTTAGTTTTGACACTATACATGTAACCTGTCACAATTCTACATCTCTGTACACTCACCGCAATGATATTAACTTTGAGAAATTAATTTGTGGATCTTAGGAACTTTTGAACGTTGCCAACGCTGTCCCCCCTTTTTTTATGGATTTTGTCCGCTTACCAATTTTTCTACGTACAAGGGCCTTAATGGCTCCTGCTCACAGGATGCGACAACGCTTGCCGCGCGGCGGAAGTTCGCACAACAGCCAATCAATATGTTGTTTTTCCGTGAGAGCTACAAGGTTATTACGGAAAGCAGCATATTGATTGGCTGTCGTACGAACTTCCATCGCGCGGCAAGCGTTGCCGCGTCCTGTGGGCAAGAGCCATTACTGTACGAGTAATTCAAATTTTACCGGATGTTTCGCACCAGACGAAACTAATAAAACTCATATGAGTGTCGACTACGATACGAATTTCCCTTCACAGATTTGACGGGTTTGTTGTAAAATAAGGTTTTTATATGATTCTTTTCATATCACATGAATACTGGAAGCAAGTTATTGAAAGTAGCAACGAATGTGCCTGAAAACGTTTTACTGAAAAATAGGTTAGCATAAAATTCTCTCGTCTACATCTGGACGTATAATATTGAGATATCTTACACACATCATGTGTAATATATACTGATTAAAAGCAATTTTATATCGGTATCCTTCGGTATAGATGTTTTTAACATGTGTTTTTATGGACAGGGCAAATCCTTCTTCTGAGACATGCGATACTTGCGACATGCTTCCGGACAATGACGCTCCAAATAGCGCCTTTGCGAGAAAGCTTTAAAGCACACGCCGCAACGCCACTGCCACTGATGATGATTGCGTGTCCTCTGATGAGCGCGCAAGTTTGACCTGCAAAGTAATCATAACGTTCAATAATTAGTAATAGGATAACGGTAATTACTACTTGATAATTATTATATTGTTCTAATACGAATATTATTAATTAAATAAATGTCAAAGAAGGTTTGCTCTGAAATGATCGTTGTTCTTATTGTTTATTAAAATGTTTTAATAATGAATTTAAACGCATTTTTTTTATCCACTTTATACAGTTTCTACTTTTAATTTCAAACTTGTTTATTGACACTGTTTTATTGAAGATTTAACAATTAATATGAATAATCAAATTCTCAGTAAGAAAAAAATCTATTAAAGTTCGAGTTAGCATTCCTCGATCCAGTACTCTAATTAATTCACAAAAAAAGATTATAATTTTGTAACTGTACAAAAACTAGATAAAAATTGAGAAACAACTCGACCAAAAACATTCGTCTGAACATTGAAAACTCAGTAATTGATAGCAACTGAAAGCAATTGATTAAGTGGAAACCTCCAATATGAATCTTTTGATCCTACAAAAATTTTCCATCTGTTTCCTATCCTTTTCAGGCAATGAGAAAATTTAATTGCACTATTGAAATGGTCCTTTCCATGTACACTGAGAGAAAAATATCTAAAAAATGAGAAATATATTTATTGGATATTAATAACATATTTTTTTTTTACTTGTACCAATACATAAAATATTCTTCAAGATAATATACATTTTCGTTAGCCCTTTATGAGTAATTGTTTTTTTTTCTATTTAAACAAAAAAATTGTATAATTTATTATTAAATTTATTATAAATATGTTATCAGTACCCATCAAAATAAATATTTCTTAATTTCTCAGATATTTTCCCTCTTAGCATAGTAATGAATAATCTCGGAAACATATCGCTCTCTTCACTTACCGATCAGCGAAAGATTTATGACAAACTGGGCATTCAAAGGGCCTCTCGCCCGTGTGAAGACGCAAATGACCTTTCAGAACCCACGGTCGATCGAAGCTCTTGCGGCAATACGGACAATAATGCATCGTTTTATTCTTCTTCCAGGGCTGAGCGTTCTCCCTGACGCTTGTTTTACTCTCGGTAGCATTTATCGGCTCGTGCTTTGTATTCGGGACCAAGTACAACGCCTGCGAGAGCGCCTGCGTTTCACAGTTGTTCATTGCGATCTTCTGATCCACAGCGCCGGCAATTTTTTCCGGATCCGACGCTTTTACCGATTCCTTCGCACTGCGAAAGGATCGGTTGTCGAGCAATATCGTAGACACCTTCTTCGCGTCGATCGCGTTTCCGTCGATCGACGAAGCGCACATATTCTGATGGTTATTCACAAGATTTCGACCTGCCGTACTTAATCCCGTGTCGAACATCGCGTTATTGATCTTGTGAAAGCTGTATCGAGTCACAATAGGAAGGCCCGAGCATGTCCAGATATTAGTCGTCTTCGACGTTACGTCTTTTGCGTGATTCTTTTGCTTAAGATCCGTGGATGGCGGCAACCACGAGAATTCAGTCTCTGCAAAGGTTGATTTTATATAAACATCGGTATCCAATGTCAAGTATTATATACTAAAAGTAGTAGATAGGAATTTATTCTTTATGAAGTTAGATTCTTAGTCGTCATTGCATATGACATGAAATATTCTCAAACTGTCAGTGTTTGTTTCCTTTGTCTCTAACAAGTACCAAATGTATTTTTTTTTATTTTCTCGTTAAGGCAATAGAAAAATATATTTGTTCCATAAAAACAAAATTATATAAACTCCAGTAAACACCAACTAATCAGTAATATAATACTTAAATGTTATAATTTCTCACTCAACAATGTAAATTTACAATAACACCGGTTATGTAACAGTTATATCACTCAGTGGGAAATTATAATATTAATGTAATGCTACTATTAGTGTGTGTTAGTCAGTTATCAAGTCTTCAGTCTTGTGTCTTCCCTCACACACGTTTGATATTCAGATATATTATTGTGGTATTTTCACTATCTTTTTTAGACGATACGCGAGAAAATACTTTTCAGAGTTATGTCTTTCTTAATAAATCATAATTTTCGCTTCATGGATAATACTTGATGATACCCGGAGAAAATGACACGTTCCAAGATCGTGCGAGATTGTTTGTTATTGCGACGATAGTCTAAGTTAAAGTAACAGATCGCGGGCTGTAATTACAATAATTCTAAAACAGGCATACAAAAACAGGCATGAATTTTCCATAACCATAAATGAAATTGCGTTTTTGTATTATGGACGGCGAATATTCATGGTGTGTGAGGAGGAAGGTCGTAGAAGGATCAGAAATACCTTCACTCGAATTGCCCGTCTTTTGGTATCTTGCCATCGACTTTATCAAGCAACGTGGCATGACTCTTGAAGTGAAAAAAAAATGGAACGCTACCGTCTGCGAAGAACGTAAAGAATTTTTAACTGCTGTCCACTGCAGCAGCAATATGGCACTGCCGTGCGTTTGTTGATCGACTTTTGTTTCAGTCTTGCAGTGGCGTATTATTAAACGCTCGGCAGCACCCAGCAGACGATCAGAATCGTCAGAATTATAATTTACAAATTACACAAATTGTCTTCTTGTGCTAAATATCATTATGATCGAAACGTGTGATCGCAGAGTTCACGATATAATTAAAAAAAAAATAACGAAATTAATGTAAGATAATCATGTTGGGCATCAATTCGTTAAATTAAAATTAATGTCGAAATTTCGAGAAGACCACTATGGTCGCGCAAATTTGCACGTGAGATTATCATGTTGAATATCTATACATTTGTTGTCTGTGTACGTGTGGAAAATTTCTCTTCTATAACTTCACTATGTTGTCGACAGCGACCTTTAGTGTCTTCATAACAGCCGTAGTGAAAACAAGGATTGAATTTAAACTCAACGTCTCAGAAATAATTCGTACAACACGTCTAGTCGGAACTCCTTTGCTCTCTCCTTAAGGTACGAATAATACCTTACATACGTATACATACGTGCACTCATTTATTTTGATGAATTTTTATTTGTGAAAAATATACACACATTCAGTCCGTTCTAAGTAAATATCCAGATAGCACCAAATGTCTTGAAATCATTCTGGATTTACTCAGGACGTTCTAATAAAGCAATCTTCAGGACATCAGGACATACTCAACATGATTCTGAGACGTTTTGTGCCAAGTATTTCAAGTTGTATCAGGATTGTATTAGCAATCACAAATATTTCATTGTCTGATTAAACAATTTACAGTATTTTAATCTGAGTAAATGAGTATCTCAATCTCATATTGAAATATTATTAGCATAAGTATTAATTTATTACATAGAGTTCAGTACACAAAATTATCAATATAATTCAAATTGCATGATTCTATACATGCATATATTTGTCCTTTAATCTTATTTTTAGCCTTTTAATGATTGCAATTTGTTATAAAACACATATTTGTGATGAAATATATTAAGTTAAAGAAATTGAATCTAATTATCATGATTACAATAATATTTCAAGACATTTATGCTTACAGGTCATGCATCGGATTGTGGATCTATTGCTTATATGTAGCTTTTTACATCCTTATTTCTACTGCATAGGTCAGGTATAACATTATATTTAATAGCATATGTGCAATAAAGTTATATTAAAGTTTTAAAAATGTGCCATAAACTAATTTTTAGCAGTTAATTTTTGATGTGTTTATTTTGTATTTGAATTTTTTGAAACCTCGCGATTGCACATGTATAAATTTACATTTTTAATAATATCATTTATTTGCTTGTATCTTTCGAGAACACGCAAATTATATGTACAATTACGCGCGCATACATACACACACAAAAATTGTCAATGTACAATAAAATTATATATTATGTTTAGAAGGCTTTGTTAAACCTCAAATTACTTGTGAGAAACCCTATTGGTTTCAATGCGACAATGGCAAGTGCATATCACTCGTATTTGAGTGTGACAAATTTGATGACTGTGGCGATAATTCGGATGAAAAAAATTGCGAGAACTTTAAAGTGAGTATTATACAGTTCGTACATAGAAAATTGATCGTATACCAGGCACGTTTCAATCCTCACCTATATTTTAAGTTCGGAGTATCCTCTTATTAATAAACCAGCGCATATAGATATCTTCTACTTCCTGCCTGAATCATATGTACACACACAACGTGAAATTAAGTAATAATTCCTCGTGTTTTCAGCTAGTATTACCCGCTTCCGTCCAATGCGCCACAGACGAATTTAGGTGCGAAAATTCCGAATGCATACCAAAGAGAAAGTTTTGCGACGCAGTCAACGATTGCACGGACGGAAGCGACGAGTATGTCGGCTGTGTGAAGAAAGTGAGTAGATCAGAATTTTCTGTATGTTATCGCATTTAGCAACGCGATCTGCTTGCGATATTAATGATAAATTCGTATTTTCTTCGTCGCAACAGTTAAAGTGTGACAATCACAAATTTCGCTGCGCTGATGAGCATTGCATAGAGAAAGACTGGATCTGTGACGGTATAAAGGATTGTCCCGATGGTAGCGATGAACAAAATTGCGGTAATGTTTTGAAGATATATTTATTATCAATAACGGACTGTAGAATGAGATGATCATTTTCATGAATTGGAGAAATTTCTTCTAACGTTGCTTTTTACATCTTCGTAGACAACAAAATATTAAATGCGAGCGATTGTACAAACAAGAATGATCGATATTTGTGTAAAAACCAAAGGTGTATCTCTCTTAGCACGGTATGCAATAAGAAGGACAACTGCGGTGATGGATCAGATGAAGGCGTCGGTTGTAATAATAGTATGTCATATTTCAATGTATCTTAATGATTTACTGCTTTACAATATCATATTTCAATGTATCTTAATTGTATCTTTACTGCTTTACAATAGTTCATTCTTTCACAGGTAAAACGTCATGCGTATCAATAAAATGCAGCAATATATGCAGGATGACTCCTAATGGACCTGTTTGTGTCTGTCAACCTGGTTACTCGTTGCAAGATAATCGCACATGCATAGGTAAATTCACAACGTGAAAACAACAAACAAATGTCTCATCTACTCAACGATTCTCTCACAGATATCGACGAGTGCGCAACTTATGGGATATGCGATCAACGATGCATAAATACAAAAGGGTCGTACAAGTGTATCTGTCAAACAGGTTATACGTTGCTGGATGACATGAGAACCTGCAAAGCAGACGGTAAATTAATTTATAAGGGTTATAATAATTATTTGTATAACGAAAATCTTGAATTTGCATCTCAGGTGGCGAAGCTACAATGATATATTCTATGACAACAGAAATTCGTGCAATGTTTCTCGATACAGAAACATACTTTACTGTAGTGCAAAACTTAAGTCAAGCTATTGCTGTTACCGTGAACGGAGATCACATATATTGGTCCGAGTTGGAGAAAGGAAATGAAATGATCGTAAAAAGTGACTATGGAAGAAAAAGGGAAGCCATCGTTACAGTGGGTAAGCACCTTATTAATCTATCGATTTATCGTATTTATCGATAATTGCGGTCTTGGCAAAGCGTTTGTGGAAGTAACTTTCCAATATGTATATTTCGGAGAAACACTACTCTTTATAGCATAAAATGGAGATGTTAAATTTTTACTCTTTATTCTATACAAATAGTGCGCGAGTTGTAATCATAATTTATTTCCATTACAATACAATACAAAATATTTGTTACACAAACATTGTAGCACATAATAAGATATAAACGTATATGATCGTATAAAAATCTTTATGACATTAATTTTAAGTGAAACGGAATAAATTCATGTTTTTTTCAATACTATGTTTGACAAAGTTGCATAATCTATCACGATACCTCCTAAATCTCACGTATTTTCTTTGTAAAGGCTTAGATACGTTGTCGGATATAGCCATTGACTGGATCACAGGTAACATATATTTCACGGATATCGGTCACACGCATATCGGAATTTGCGATAACAGTGGTACAAACTGCACCATATTAATCGATGAGCAAACTGGATTAATCGATGAGCATCCAACAGCACTCGCTTTGTTACCAACCAATGGGTAAACATATTTCTCAAAAAGATTCAAGTTACAAATATAAATAAATCATTTTCTACGCACCTTGATCCAGTCGTGTATTACATAAAAACATAAAAAGAGAAAAATTCCAATTTTATATGTAGCGTAGAAATAGCGTACATATAATAATAATACTTTACAGAGTAATGTATTGGAGTGATTGGGGTTTCAATGGACATATAGCGATGGCAGGGATGGACGGAACAAATAATCGTTTCTTTGTTACGGAAAACATAACATGGCCAAAAAGCGTGACTATTGACTATCCAAATAATCGGTTGTATTGGGTGGATGCTAAAAGAGCTGTTGTCGAATCAATACGACTGGACGGCACCGATCGAAGGGTTAGCGTTGATTCTTACACCTTACGACTGAGATTCGATGACCCAAAAAATGCACTTGCAATTTAATTATTTGCAGATTGTATTGAACGAATTTATACAACATCCGTTTTCTTTAGCGGTCTTCGAGAATAAATTGTATTGGAGTGACTGGACCGAAAAAACGATACAGTCCTGCAACAAGTTTACTGGAAAGGATTGGAAGATCATAACTCGTTCTAGCAATATACCGTACGGCATACATATCGATCACTTAGCGTTAAAGCCTAGAGTATGTAGCATATCTATACATTATTGCTTTGTATCGCAAAGTAGGTTTGCAAAAAAATGTACAATCTAATTTCAGGCTCACAATCCGTGTAACCCGAATCCTTGTTCGCAATTGTGCATGCTGAATCAAAACAAAAATTATACGTGCGCTTGTACTCTAGACAAAAAATTGAACCCTGATGGACACACGTGTCGAGGTAAATCTGCTGAATAAAAGTTTGTGCTTGAAAAAACGAGGGGTTCTCGGAATAATTTAAAAATATATTTCTAAAATTCTCACTCTTATTAAATATAAATTATAATATTAAATATAAATTACAGTTGTGGATAAGAGACAGCACATTATCATTGCTGCTAAAGGCGCTTTCATAGATTATTATCACGAATTATTGGGAAGACCGAAAATAACTGCGAACGTTGCCTTCAGCAGGCATATCACTGCGGTGACATACGATTCACTTTCCGGTATAACGAGATTATTATTTTACGCAGCACACTGCATTATAATTTTGACATCAACCCTCTCTTACAATCACATTTTATTTAGGTACTGTATTTGCAAGCGATCAATTTAAGAACAATATCATTCGCTACGATCCGGTCCACGGCGATGTTGAAATCTTTATGTCCATAAGGAATGAAATTTTGGGAGGATTAGCATTTGATGACATTGGTAACAATTTGTACTTGTCGGATATAGAACAAAAGACTATCGAAATACATAGTCTATCAACTACAACGAGTACGACTTTTTATCTCGAGGAACAACCTTACGACATTGCGTTGGTACCTGAAAAAGGGTATACTGCATTTAGTTAATCAGTTAATTTAGTTATTATTTGTTAAACAACCTGTATATAACATCCTTATTTAACATCCTGTATATCATAGCATAATGTTCGTGGTATTTCGAGGCAAAACTGGCTATCATATAGATAAAATGCAAATGAATGGAATCGGTGTAAGAACAAAGTTTGTAGACAGCGATTTGTTGGGCCCGAAGGTGTCGCTGTGCTACGACAGAGATCATAGAAAAATCTTTTGGAGCGATCAAGGCACTGGTCGTATCGAAAGCATTACGATTACAGGTTCTCATTTTAGCTGTTAAATTAATGTTTATGTCTTATAGACGAATTTTAAAACGTATTCAATGCGTTATATACGTATTTGATGCGATATATTTCTTACATTGCAATACATTATCGTATGTTTGCATGCAATATTTCATTACGAACGATTATACGAATATTGTGATAGTACCGAGCAATTAAACTTTCAGGTTTCTACAAGTATCTCTTCCGTACCGGACTAAAGGAACCCGTGAGCCTCGCTATCGCTGAAGAATATATTTTCTGGACCGAATACAAATCAAATAAATTGTTTTGGGCGGACAAATACAATATCCATCAAAAGAACAACGGTATCATAATTCGTGAGTTGAACATTTCAGGAAACGAGAGAGCATAAATCTGTAGGATGACAACTCGGCAATATGTATTTTTTCTAGGTATGACTGACAAAGTAGAAATAGCGCATCTGGTAGCTTTACACGGAATTATCGTTCACGAGGAGAACGGTTGTCGCAAAAACAATGGCAATTGTTCGCACGTGTGCTTGCCTTCCTCTTATATATCATACGTAAGTATGTTTTGCATGCGACTAAAACAAACACAAGGCTGTGCAATCATACGTCAAACATTCAAGAAATCCAATGCAAATGTATACAATTAGAACATTATAAACACGTCGATAAATACTTAATCTAATCCGCGATAGCAAAGCTATCGTATCGGTTTGGCGATTATTTATTAAAAAATGTATTGCGCGCGCGCGCTTTATTCGTTTAACATGTTACACGATAACTTCCAGATTTGCGCTTGTCCTCCCGAAATGATGTTAAGTGCGGATAATCATACGTGCAGTTCACAATCTGCCTGTCCACCCGGTCAACTTAAATGCAGCGAGCATGATATCTGTATAAAACGGCAACAATGGTAATGCTTAATCTTTTTCTTGCTCTTCTCTTATATACTCTTATAGTCCAACTGGACAGAAATTGATTACACGGATTATTCCAAGACTCTGTCGTATTTTTCAACAATAATGATTTTATGTGACAATTTGTGTGACAAATTGATGTTATTTATAGAATCAGCTCACTTGATCTTTGAACTACTTATCTACTTAATACTTGTTGTATTGTTAAGGCTGGTCTCTCACCGCAATCATCTTGATTTATGACGTCAGAAGCGAAGAAATACACGTTAAAAATTCTTGCAAAATATGTTGAAATAAAAAAATGACATGTTTTATAAAATGATACTTGCAATCGATCACGCAGACTGTTAAATAGTCCGAGCACTATCTTTTCACTTTAATAATTAATGAATAGCCGTAAAATTAATGTGACAAAACCATGAGAGAAAGAAAACTTTTAGCGTGTATTTTCTCACACTTCTAACGTTATCAATTAAAAATTCCGCGGCAAGGAGCCAAGAATTTTAAATTTAAGGAAAAGATATAATATTTCATTTTTAATGTGTTATATATCGTACAGTACAAATATAAATATGTTAATTTGTAATTTATTAGGTGTAACGGTATCAAAGAATGTCCGAACGGTGAAGACGAGCCGATCGATTGCGCAGAAGCCGGCCACTGCGGAAAAGATAAATTTATGTGCAAAAATGGCCAATGCATAAACAAGGCAGATCGATGTAACTCGAACTACGATTGCTCTGATAAGTCCGACGAAGATGCCTGCAAAAAAATATCTTGTCAAAAAGGCAACTTGATATATTTATTTAATATTATCTGTAACAATTGTTTCAAGTAGTGACATGTATACTTATCACTGAGTTATTTTCTCGATATTTAGAACTATAAGTTCTCTCTCTCTCTCGATATTAAGAACTATCACAGTTATATATATATGTGTGTGTGTGTGTGTGTGTGTGTGTGTGTATTTGTACGAAATATATACTTCCAAAATATATATTTATCGAAAACTTTGATAAAATATGTTTTGTTAGATGGGAAGTGATAAATGAATTGTATAGAACTAAATTCACATAATTCTTTTATTTACGCAACCTTTCAGACGAGTTTCAATGTCACGAGGGAAGTTGCATATCAAGCTCTCTAGTATGCAACGGTCAGTTTGACTGTTCCGATACTTCCGATGAACTTAATTGCGGAACACGCGAGTGTTCTTCGAACGAATTTATGTGCGAAATGCGAAAATGCATTCCGGAAAGTTGGAAATGCGACGGCCAAGTACGTCCATTACAATTTGAGATTCCCATCTCCCTTAGTCACAATTATAATTCAAATATTTGATATGTTTAAGACCTTCACATACAAATTAATTAATAGTAACATAAGAATTGACCAATTTCAAATGAGTATTCAACCTTATGATTCGATGATACTCAACATTATTGGTTCTTACATTACGTCTTACACTATGATTACGATAATTTGTGCGTAAAAATCCTCATTGCGCTTACTATAGTAACTTTACGCGTACTCGTGACTATTTGTTCCAAATATTCAAAATTTTTTTAAATTTCAATTTGTTTTAAAGTTTTTTTATTCATATTTAGAACGTAACAATGTTTTGTGTAATCTCGTGTTTTTACATTCAGATCGATTGTCCGGATGGATCAGACGAAACCATGAAGATCTGCAAGACGCGTTGTAATAATCAACAGTTTAGGTGCGCTAACGATCTTTGCATATCATCTTTAATGAAGTGTGATGGTTTCAACGATTGCGGTGATCACAGCGACGAGCAACATTGTCTAAACGGGACATATGGTCACACTGGTAACTGCACCGATGACGAGTATCCGTGTTATAACACAGATATGTGTCTCCCGATAAGGGTAAAGTGAGTTAATCTTTTTATTATGTACAAAACGTTTAGCAAGCTATATAGCGATACAAACGGTAAAACTAAAAATTCTTTGTTACTTTCTTCTTTTATAGGTGCAATGGTGTCCAGGATTGCCCAAAAAATGACGATGAACACAACTGCGCGTACTGTTTGAAGAATGAATTTGCCTGCAACAATCAAAAGTGTATCCCGCAGAGTTGGGTATGCGATCAAATCGATGACTGTGGCGACAAATCAGACGAGAAGGACTGCGGCAGGAGAAATTGGAAGAATACGATAGCTAACGTAACAGGCACGTGTGAAGAATTCATGTGTTCCGATGGCACTTGTCTACCATTTAGCAAAGCGTGCGATAATGTACAAGACTGCCCAGACGGTAGTGACGAGCAGAAGAAATGCAGTATGTAATTGGAAATTTCTAATTAACATGATAGCAAATAATTATCATTAATTTATTAATTTAATATTGAGAACTATTCAGTTTTTCGATATATTACTAATATTTTAGAAAAACCAGGGATACAAATTAACGTCCCTTTATAACCAATATTTGTGATCCACAGAATATTTAGATTATTAATATTTAGATTATATTCTCTTTCTCTTTCTTTTTCGCGAGCCTGCGTACACACACACACACACACACACACACACACACACCATACAAAACTTTCACTCGTGCCTTGAAGAATTTGTGGAAACAAATTTATTTATTGACAGATGTTTGTAGAATATATAAGTGTTTTATATGCATTACTCAGAATATATTGCTTTTTACACAGCAACATCGTGTGTACAAGACAATCGCTGCCACGGTATATGTCACAAGACGCCTCAGGGTGGAATTTGCGATTGTATAAAAGGATATCGCTTAGCTACCGATATGGTGTCCTGCGACGACATAAATGAGTGCGAACACGAAGTTTGCTCACAGATGTGTCACAATACTATGGGCTCTTTCATATGTTCGTGCTTCGACGGATATATTATTCGTGACGACAAGATTTCTTGCAAATCTATCGGTAAGAAGTCTCGATTAAATCTTCTTACGAATAATTCAAGAAATGAATATCCATGGTAATCATTTAGGACCACCAATGGAATTGATCACCGCCACCGATAGAGATATCAGAAAGATATCATCGAATACACGATCGATCGAAGCGATCCATCCGTTATCGGGCTTGAGTGTAGGCGGTCTTGACGTGAATGCAATCGACAATACGATTTATTGGAGTAATGGTTAGTATTTACTTAAAACTTATACACTAATGCACATTAACACAGGTATTGTATGTATGAAAAGAGCGTCCAATCTAAAAGAAACTTAAAAGCCGTTTAAGGCCTGGTCTACAATAGGTGTAATATTATAAAAATAATCGGCCATAATTGGCCAGTTCTTATGGCTTTCTATTGGCTTTATATCTATTGTAGACCAATCCTAAAAAATATCCAAGAAATCGTAGATATTTTTATAAAAGGCTTTAGTATTGTCTATGTAAATATTGAGGAAAATAATTGTAGATGATCTGGGTACAATTAACAAATTCAACATCAAGACGAAAGAATCAAAGTTTGTCACGGGTGTCGGAATTCCGGAAGTGCTTGCGGTCGATTGGATTACTGATAATATCTACTTTAACGATAACAATCGCCCGAATAAGATCAAGGTGAATTTCTTCTCGACATCAGATTGTGCTGTAAGAGCTAATTATTAATTTCGTATATTAATTAAAGGTATGTAACTTGGAGCAAGAAAAATGTGCGACAATAGCCAAAATAGAAGGTGTTGGTAAGGTAACATCTATCGTAGTTGACCCAAAAAATAGGTATTTACGTTTGCATATACGTGTACACTTTTTTCTTACTTTCATTTATCTAATTCAGAATTCCACAATAGAATATCGTTCGATATTACAGATGGCTATTCTGGAGTCAAACCACTTGGCAAGTATATAACAATCCATTTAGTGAAATATATCAGACGGACATGATGGGTTCCAATATGAAGATAATTGGTTCTCGAAATATAGGCGTCGTGAGTGGAATGGCAATCGATCATATAAAATCTAAACTATATTGGACGGACAGTTTTTACAAAACTATCGAGTTATCTAATTTGGATGGAACTCAGCGTAGCACGTTTTTAAAAACAGATGTATGTTCATGGATATTGGTATTTCAAGTATGATTTTACTATCGCACAGAACGATATAAATCAATACTCTAATAACAAATTCTTTGATCTTTAGAAACATCAACCGTTAAGCATCAGTATTTATGAAAATTCACTTTACTGGCTAATGGGTTCAAATGGCCAGTTACAAAAGTGCAAGCTATATGGCGAAAAATTATGTGAATCGATAAACGTAGGCTCAGACAATATTCACAAACACTTCGCCATCTTACATGTCTCCAATCATCCCCCTGGTTAGTAGGGGTCCACATTGTGGCCGGTATTTATAGATGGATCTTATATTTAAGAACGTCTTAAGTTTATCTTGAGATGATGTAGAGATCATTTCATTGGCTATTGAATATCTGAAAACAGTCTTAAATATAAAGTCCGACTATGAATACTAGCCTATATCTAAAAAAGATGAAACATAATGCAATAAAATTTAATTTTGTGCTTGTTTCATAGCTGAGAATCCTTGCAAAGTTATAAACTGCAACTACATGTGTGTTTTGAAGGATAAAGATGCGGCATGCATTTGCCAAGACGGTAAACCAATAATGCCTAACAACATTTGTATAGCAGATACTCCAAATGATGAAGCATCGTTTACTTCGAACAAAACTTACATTCGATCAGAACCTGTTAGGCATTACAATAGCACCTATAGTGGATTATTCATCGCATTAGTGATCATTATATTAATCCTATCTGGTTTCTTTTATTACCAAAGAAATAAATTAAAGAAGACTTCATTAGACAACCTTAGGTATGTTACAAGTTCATTTCACTATCGAACTTTATTAGAAATCGATTTTTGAGTACGACATTATTAGTCAGGTGAAGTAACGCGTAACGATATAATTTCAGCAGCATTCGCTTCCAAAATCCATCGTATGATCGAAGAGACGAGATTGCGGCGACGCTTATTTCGACGGCTTCAAATATATCTCCTGGAGAACATGAATACGTAAATCCTATTAACGATAAGTTGTTAACGGTATGCAATAATAACATATTCCATAATGCGATATTATTTTTTGTATATTCTAATTACATACTTTCTGGACGCGTCTGTTGTTTACTATAAACTAATTGTCAAAGATTTCTATGTAACTATATATATTACATAATTGTAAACTTAAATTTTCGATATTTCTCTGTAGATTGTGGAAGAAAGTGAGACTAATCAGTCAGAAACGATAAGTACAAATCAAATGGGAAAAGAAGTTGAAGCAACACAAAAACAAGATGCCCTTATCTCTTTCACGCGATAAAAATAATTCAACGTTATAATGGAAAACATCGAGGTTTAATATTAAGATTGAAATTCCAGCAAGAATCTTTACATGAATGTTTTAAAGAATGTGTAAATTCGTGGCATTATAGCAATTAATGTAAATAGGTCAAATACAATGTACATATAATATATTAATACAACATTCGCACGCATATTGTATAAATAATACATCTTTGCTGTATGTTAGAAATGCAATTATGATACAATATGTGATATTGAACAATATGTTTACAAATTACATCTTTTTCAAACAGGCACTAATATAAACTAAAATATTAAATACATTTCAACATGTTTATATTTTTTCAATTTAGACGGTTATCATTTTAAATATCGCTACGTTGCTTTGAGTACATAATCGGGAAGAAAAACATGGTTACACCCAAATATTATCCAAATATATTTACACTCGATTATTTTTGTATATATTCTATTTTAAAATAGCTACATACATGTTTAAGTATAATAAGGCAATTCCATTGTGCTCTAGATTATGTTAAGAGATTAAAAATTAATCTAATGAAGAGATTAAAAATAAATTCTGTGCATGTATACACATATCCTTTAAGTTAACATAATGTATATATTTCCACATATATTATAAACTCTTATTTTACGTAACAAGATAATCAACAATTTAAACAATAATTATAATTTCTATTTAAAAAAATTTTTTGTGTGCATATATATATACATATATATATAAAATCATCATGACAGTCCAGTTTATAATTTAATTATGTGGTATATAATATTAAAATGTTGCATTTATATATATAAAGTGAAAGAAGGAAATTATTACAATATTATTAAAAGTACTTATATAGTTTTAACAGAAAAAAATCAATGCGACGTTATTAGACTGTCTAATATAAGAGGCCAAGGGAAAAATAAATGGATCTGACCTTTGGAATTTCTTGAAAAATGTAATTAAATGTCTGGACCTGAGTTTCTGTATTAGTGATAAAATACACGACGAGATGGCTAGCGCATTCATAAATCTCATTGCAATTTACGCTATCGTCATTGGTATTGTTGTTTTAACTAATAAGATAAGGACTATCAAGCGCACCAACACCCGCCACTATTCCACCTTCATTTTCGGTTGATGATTTAGTCCTTAAAATATGGCCAACTTCTTCATTTAGTATTATCTGTTTGCTATCTCTAAAAAATACACGTATATGATGTTAATGTTATATTTAATATTATCTAGTCTTTTACCAGTGAAAGATATGATATTGTTAAACGCAAGTTATCTCACACGCACTTACCCCACTATCACTCCATATATACCAAGTTCCGCCACAACATCCGATAAACTGACGTTACCTTCTGATATCGGTTCCTGAGCAGCACGTATCAGATAGTTTGACTGTAAAGGTGGATAAATGCGATCCATGAGAATCCATGCAGTTCTTTCTTTTTTATTCTTCATAGAATTCAGACATGTTTTTATGTCGTCATTGTATATATTGTTTCCTCCTCCTTCTCTTTGCGGTTTGAGAACAAACTTACTTGGCTCATTTATAGCCATTGTCACTGCTTTTTCTCCATCATCATTCTGTTGTTAAAATAAATATATTACTCAATTTACCAAAATTAATGCTGAAAGTTATAATTTGTGTATCAAACTCAGTATAAGTATATCGATTAACTAATAACTAAATGACGTACAAAGTCTAGTGTGTATAAGCCAGCAAATACTTCTTGCACTCTGCTAATAGACTCTTTATCTTTTAGAAATTTTTTCAATACACTTGGTTGAGCTAAGGATTGTTGTACCTAAAAACCAAAATATTGAAGCTTAAACAAATTCAAGATATATAT